AATTTGGCGCTATATAAATAAACTGAATTGAAAATTGAAATTGGAAGGTAATTGTATATTACAGTTAAAGTACGGTATTGCAAATGTATATGTAAACAATTGGTACTGTGAATAAACAGTCGGTAGTGCAAATCAATATTCAGTCAAAATTAAGTTTATTTTTGAAGTATTTTCACAATTGAAGACTGTGCTTTTGGAGGTGGTTCTCTATCATTCTCCACTTAGTAGTTAAACACTCCCTCAGCATGCTTCTGCCACCATCATGCTAAAACTTGGTCAAGGTTGTCTTGTTTGAAGAGAAAAAGTCAAAATTTTTGGACTTTTTCTTAAAAAAAGAGAGTCCTTAGTCATTGCATATTATGAAAAAATCTATACATTTTAACCACACCTGCATGTTACCAAAATGGACTTTTTTCGCAAACTCCTAACACTAGTTGTCAACATCATCCTCAAATTCCACTGCCCTGCATGACCTCCTGAGCCGCCACTGAGTTCTCCAGAAGTTGTCCATCAGTCTTTCATATTAGTCATGTTAATGGCAGCAAGTAGACACCGAATAACAGTACTTGAGGACCAAGATTTAGAACCACGTTTACATGTTTAATTATTTCTACAGTATCATTCAGAAAATTCCTTTTTATCTGGAGAATTAAAAAAAATGACCAATTATTCCTCTTAATTGGGAGGAACATGGCCCATTAAAACTGGTTAAGAAATTAGTTTCTTTGAGGTGCCCTATTTAATTTGCTTTTATTCCACAGTGATTTGAAAGATTTTGAACTACATAGACTCATCCTAATTAGTTGTCTTTAAATTGGCACCAAATGTTAGCTTTTTACAAGTTACTTCCTCAATTGCTTTTGATATATTGCTCCTAAACCTGCTGTTAACTACATTACTTCCTATAACTTCTCTGAGCTGAGACCAGGAGGGAATATGACATTATAATTAAGTTTTACATTTTTCAAAATAAAGATACATATAAAACAGTTGAAATACAAGTTCAATTGGGTCACGGAGTGTACAGCCACTGGCTTCATGTTAGGATGGTGGGTTTACTTGTCTGGATAGCAGCAGTGAAGCAGTGTAAAACACAGTGTTCCCCAAAGCAGGATTAATTATATTCTATAAACTTCTAGTTTGGTTCCATTAGATCATAAGATATTCTCCCAGGAGGTTTTAGGATACTGAAATCAGACCTCGAAGTTTTCTGTGAAAGAACGGAGGTCTTTACTGGGGCTTTACTCCTTAAATTAAACACATATTAAGCATGGGAAGTTGTTGACCCATATGAAATTTAATCCATACTTGTTTAAAGTTACTATATTGTTGTCAGCCTTTCTTTAACTGTATCCTGAGTAGTATCTTTATCAATCTTTAAGAAGTAATTAGTTTTTTTGGCCCTTTTATCTGAAAATATATCAAATAAATGATCAGTATCTTTAATGTGGTCATGGTGAGTGTCTAATACTGTGGAAAGGGTTTTCCACTATTAATAAATACATTTTCCACTATTAATAAACAAAACATCAGGAACATCTAATTTCAACAGCTGCATTACTATTGTGGGAGAAAAATAAAACTATGTACCCTCCTTTTGCATCAAGATGTCCTGTTATGCAGAAAACTGCAGCTAAGAT